GGGATATAATGTATAGGCCTGGTGGGTTCAGGGTCTTTCATCTTACATCTGCCTGCGAGCAGTTTGGAGGTGCAAGATGCCTGAGCGTGTAATGTTAATTTTACCTGTGATCCTTTGAATAAATCAGCACTGTTTTGAAGTTACTTGGACTGTCTCATCTCTCAGAGTTAGCAATGGTAAGAAGAATCAAAGCCCACACTAGCTACTTGCCTAACACCTAACCCTGACCCCAACACTTAAACCATGTTGTCACCCTAAAATTCAGTGATTTCCTTGTGGGGACCACCATCTAGTCCCCACAAGAAAGGCAGAGTCCCCACAATGTGAGTGTGTTAACAGGTTTCAGTCCCCATAATGTAAGTAATACAAAGGCAACTACACATGATACTATGCACACACACACTGTGGGTTCCCTGGTCCTGGCTGGACCCAGTCCTCCATCTTTAAGTTTCTCCCAAACCTCTTATTTTTCCTCTGAGGATCGAGGAGGAGACGTGAGGCAAGATACACGAGGCCAGTTATCTTCTGTTAGTGAATACACCTCCGCTGAAACTACATCACCCTTATACCAGTGGAAGGGTTTCTCTGCAGTAACGGTAATATTTACACACTATGGCTCTACTGATCTGAAAACACATGTACAGATGTTTGTCAAACAGCTTAAAGCCAGCTGACAGAGAATCCAGCTGAGCTGTTTGTGTCATCAGAAACAAATCCAACAATTCTCTAAAAATACGACCTTGCCTCTTCTTCTCACATCTCCGGTGGGAGGGGCAAAGACGCAATGAAAAGAAGCAAGTGATGAAAACATGGATGCGGTCAGCAGACGGCAGGTGTGGCGCGTTTCTTCACCTGTGTAACATGCTGGTGGAGGCGGGCTGAGCTGGGACAGCAGGCTGAGGAAGGCAGTGGATGATGTTGACAAGGCTTCACATCACATTAGTTGGAATTTTAAAAAATTACATTTTGTAAATTAAAGGTTTCGTGTTAATGTCCTGTTCGTTAATGGGCTCTGTTAACTGTTGTTAAAACAGAATAAAAACAGACCTGATACAGAGGAGCAGCTCTCCACTCTGTGACCCGGGCCATGTGCAGCGCTCCATAATCTGCTCAGGACTTATTGTTCCAGCATGAACAGAAAAGCTAATCAAAGTAAAGTAAAAATGTAAAATATTAAAGTACAGTACAACTACCACAAAGTACGGAACTCCTACCCAGTGGAGTCCGGTGTCGCTCTCTTGCAGCTGCTTCCCTCTGAAGCACAGATCAAGAGTTGCCTAAGTACCATCTGCTGTCAACGGCTGTGATCGACACTCTGCTGCACACGCTGGACCTTCTCTGACACCACATCACACATTTCCAAAAAACATCCTGCTGTTTTCAATGAGGGAGCAAATGAGAAAATTACAGTGCAACAATTTCAAGTATTACTGAAAAAACATTTAACTTTTCACCCAGTGTTGCACTTTAATGAGTAAAAACATCCATGTACAGAGGTTGTAATGGTGCTTTCCATCTCTCTACAACTTTACAACACACTTTAACATGTCAGTACATTCTTCAAACCAAGCACCATCCATAGAAGCCGCACAGAGGTGAAAAACAAACATACCCACCCTCCCCTCTGTCCATCTGACGCCAGATGCTGTAGTGAAAAAGAGACTCCTCCTGGTGTTCAGCGCTGGTTAATAAAAATCAAACCTATACAGCAGCTTTACTGCTGTGCTTCACTCTCCCCACTCTCAAGGTGCAGTTTACAGCCACAGCAGGAAGCAGCTGTTTTCAAAAGCCACTGTGCACGACCTACTCAGCAGCAAACAGAGTCTAGCTGGTGAACACAGTTCAGCAGCTAAAGAGAGCAATGGACACAAACATGTATTGACAAGCTTGTCAAAGCTGATGTCAAACTCGCACCAAATCCTCTGCGTTCTGGAAAATGTATTGGAGACTGCGATACGTTTTAATATTCCAACATGTAAGACAGCACCACAGACCCACTCATTACGGACAGTGAACAATTCAGTCCTGACATTTTAGTAAAAATGATATGGAAATAGGCATACAAGTGTGGATGTAAAGCATCTGAATGTGATGCACAGTTAGCGAAATATGTCTTTACCTTTTGGACCTGCTGAGCCACTTTTAGCTGAAATTTGGTGGAAACATTATTGATAATAAGAAAACTAACACAAATCTCAGCTCCAGTAAGAAAGTAAATGCCAGGTTAACTGACATCAGATCAGTCAGTCTTCAGGCTACACTTTATTCTGTCCACCTCAGTGTGTCTGGTGACCCTCCTACATATAATCCTCCAAGCTCTGCCTCCAGTTCCTGCAGGTGGGTGGGGCTAAACACGTCAACTGTCTTTCCCAGCGTCCTCCACCAGGGGAGCCGGCTCGCCTGCAGCGTTGCATTGTGGGCGTCACGGGCATGAGCAGCGATGGGACCCGAGGGTGTCAGGAAGGATTCTGCATCCGTTACTGTGACAGCAGAAAGGGGCGGGGCATCTGAGGGGAAAGACATCACATATTCCCATGAATATAAATGCAAACTGTTAAATATGTGATTCAGCTCAAAGTACTGTACATCTCTGCAGGGCTCTGCTGCTGGCATCTTATGCAACAAACTTCCAAACCCCTCAACGCAGGATTCTCACATTACTGGCGTTTTGATTTTTTCTTAGGTGGACGAACACAACAGCCACCTTGCTGCAGCAGTGAGGAGAGGGAGCGCCGCTGCTGCTGTTATAATGAATACACAAAGTTACTTGTCACTGTCATCTGAATTAATGATGATTAAACTTTCTTCCGCTTGTTGCTACTACTTACTTTGTGACCATGAGAACAACAGAACCACAGCGAGATAAAACAATACAGGAGCTGATTTTACTACACTGAGTCTCACCACCTTTCCACTAACAGTGACAACACACAATCACCACGTGCTCCTAAGTCTGAGTGTCTGACCTGGAATAATCAACGGCAAAGATATCAGCTATACAGAAAAACTTGATATTCAAGTGATGGGATTAGACTGGGTGGAGAGCAGCAGCCTGTCGCATTAAAAAAAAGGATATAAAATAGTTGGAAAACACCAAATGCCACTCACAGTCTGAAAAGCACTCTCTAACCAAGAAAACTGCTTGCACGCAGATTTGTTGATGCAGACATGTCATATATGAAAGGACGACCCAGCACAAAGAGTCTCAGTGAGGTGCTGGGCCTCCACATTCCACCAGAACAGCTTCACCTTGGCAGTGACTCTCCAAGTCTCTGACCTCTCCAGGAGGGATGAACACTGTTCTTCCAACAGATGTTCCCTCATGTGGTGTTTTGATGATGTGGTGAAGACATTGTCTAACATGCCGCTCCAACATTTCCCATAGATGTTCAACTGGGCTGAGGCACATCATGATCATCTTCATCAGACCGCTCACATATTAAGACGTTGTCTAACATGCCGCTCCAACATTTCCCATAGATGTTCAACTGGGCTGAGGCACATCATGATCATCCTCATCAGACCGCTCACATATTCTGAGGTTTCCTTTCATTTGTCACTGTCTGTAGAACTGCATGCGCTGGATTCAATGAACCAAGTGTAATTTTACTGCTTGCAGAAGAAAGAAAGAAAGGAAAGAAGAGGACGAGTGTGTATGAGAGACCTCTGAGCATCTCCAGCTGTGTGCGTGTGTGTGCCAGCAGAGCTTCTCTCCTCTGCTCCTCCCTCCTCCGCTGCTCTCCTCTCTGCAGCTCTGTCAGCAGCAGCAGCTGCACCTCCTCATGGAGACGCTCACACTCCTCAGGAGACACACGGGATGACTGCAGGCAGACAAGAGGACCGGAGCACAGTTTGTCATTGGGGCCCAAAGCATCATGGGTAACAGTTCTGTCAGACAGCTGATAGATTGTTGAGCTGTACTGGAAGTAAGAATTAAAGTTACTGAGAGTTAACTGAGGCTCTTACAGGATGCACAGTGATGTATTCCTCCACCTGTCTCTTTAGCTCCACCCTCCGACTGTCTGTCAAACCCTTCTGACCAATCCAGAATTGCGTAAAGGGCGGGCGCTTCGCTGCTCGACATTTTTGCAGAAAGTGCCGCACCTGAAAAAGGCACAAGTCAAACATCACTCAGGTGTTTGTGTGCATGAGACTGTGCTGCTGTCTTTTTAAATCATGGAAATGAAACACTGCTGTTTCCTTTTGTTTTACAAACAATCCCTCTCCATTCACAATGATTATCTGATGGTGTCTCATCCCCACTTTTTCAAACCTAATTTCTTTTATTCAGGCTAATTTGTCAGTTGTGCAGGTAAAGGTGAGTGTCATGGACTACCGCTCTCTGCAGCACCCTGGCAGCCTGCTGCTGTGTCTGTGTGCGTCTCAGTGTGCGTTGCCGTGTGTCGTTGTAGCGTCGTCTCTCTCTGAAGCCTCTCCAGAAGCTCTGGATCACCACGGCTGCATGACGCTCACACTCCTGCAGGTACGACTGCACCTGGTCTGAGCACACACACACACAGCAGACAAAATTAACTCTACTCTTAGACTATAAGAAATGAAGGCAATAAAAACAGTGTATGCATATTCACCGGGTAGCAGAAGCTGCAGCAGATGTCTCTGCTTTTGGTGAAACTCCCTCCTCGCTCGCTGACGTCTCACACACACCTCAAACACAAGAGCAATACACAAAAACAGCGTTACATCATGTGACACAAAGAACGCACAATGATAGCAGTGTGAATGCAGCGCAGTTAAAGCTCCATCAGAACATCTGCACCTGTAGTTGCAGCTCTGCACATATAATGAGAGACTGAGGAGTCATCAGATTTGTCTGTGTGTATCAGCAGTGTCAGAAACTTATTCAGCCTACACTGCATTATCAGTGCCAGCTGAAATAGGTGAGAATACAACCAAGCCTCTTCTTTGTGTTGGACTGGGTCTTACCTGGTACCTCAGTTCCTCCTCCCACTGCTGCGCTTCCTTCTGGTGCTGCTGCTGCCTCCTCCGAGCCCTGACACACACGCGTGCACACACAGGTGCCACTACATCAGTCAGTATCCAGAGCGAAAAATGAACTGGTAGTGAACAAATTCAGACTTAGGGCTGAAACTAGTGGTTACTTTCATTGTTTCTTGATCAATCATGTTCTATTAACACCAGAAAACAACTAACAATATCAAATGACTAGTTTTGTCTGAACATTCCAAAATACTCACAAATATGAAATTCACTATGATGATAAAACCAAGAATATTTCAGATGAGAAGCATAAATAATAAAATGGTTAGATTTGATGCTAAAAAAATGACTTAAATCGGTTTTCAGTGCAGTGAACACACAGACATGAGCCTGACATCCACCTAACCAACAAGAAATAGAATAAAAGAATAAAGAATAAAAACTCCCAAAATGCTGTACTACTCCTTTGCAGCTAATTATGGTGAAGTGAGTATAGTGCAGTCACAGATCCAGCTACCTGTATCTCCTCTGCAGGGTGCTGACAGCTCTGTTGAGACTCTTCACCCTGCGTCTGGTCTGATATGACCTCCATGCTGCCTGGATCACACATGCTGCCCGCTCATGCTCAGTACCCACCTAGAAAGAGGAGGGGACAGAGGTCAACAGGGAGACAGAGGATACATCTCAATGCCCTCAACTCCATCCATGTTTTCCCCACTGGTGTCACTCCTCACTGGACTGGATCAACTTCTGGGTCACAGATCAAGGACATCCCAAGACTCTTACACTCTAAGGTGCAAAATTTGAGGAGCAAGGATACATGAGAGCATCGTTCACAGAAGTATCACTTGGTGACTGGATGCTTCAGATGAAGGATTAGAGGAAAGAATGTCTCACATCTCTAAAAACATGTTTCCTTGACTCCCCTCTCCTCACATTTTATGTAGGTGGGACTAAGACACAAGGAAAAGATGCAGCTACCTGGGAGTGACTTGTGCCTTTGTCAGATTGGATGAGTGTGATCAGCTGATCCACGTCCTTGTCAAAGCCATGTCCCCTCCAGTCTTTGTCCAGCAGGCTGTCCAGACCTGCAGAGACAGAGTCCAACATGCTGCAATGAGACAGTTTTCATCTACTCATATAATAAATATATCAATATGTTTGACCTCTGAAGCTAAGGAGCAGGGGATGGAGTCGGAGGCCCAGCTGACTGGACATGAGGAGGATCAGTCTGACAGAGGCCCCGCCCACCGCAGAATCAGAGCTGACAGCTAACTGGCCAACAGCCTCGTTAAGCAGCAAGAGGACAAAGTCATCACTCAAGCCAGAGAGGAAGTCCCTGCAGAGAAAGACAGGTCTTCAGTTTCTGCTTGCTTTGTTGGTGTGACGTAGAAAGATATTAGTTTGCAAAAACATGAAACAAAATAACGGATTGAAAAAACTGAAACTGTGATTGCAGTACAATCAGGTTATATATAGTGAATATTAAAGGAAATTATTACACATCATGTGTAAACTGTTATGTTCGTGTATTACCTGCTGGTCGTGCAGGACTGGATCCACAGCTGGACACAGATCAGAGAGACAGTGGAATCATCACACAGTTGGATCTGCTCATAATGAACAGAGCTGAGAACTGCAGAGACAGACAGGGAGTCTGTCAAGGAAGCTGTTACAACAAATCCCATCACCAAGCCAAAAGCAGCACAGTGTTAGTCTGTTTCTCAACGCTCTCTGACTTCCTGCCTTTGGCTCTCAGCTCCAAACCCACTGGTTCCTACTGAAGATGTATTTACAAAAGACTGGACAATCTCCTAACACAAACAGGAGGAAACTGTGCATTTATTGGAGACTATTTTCAGTGAAACACACATACTCTATGACAACCTGTCAAGCTTTGTGTAAAACAGGCACCCAGTGCTACCACTCATGAAAACCAAGGCATCAATCAATAGACAGTTGAATCAGTCTCAGTAAGCAGAGAGGTGGCTGACCCTGTGCGATGAGCTGTGTGTGAGTTCTGAGCAGCCAGCTGACTGAATCCATCACCTTCCTGAATAGAGACAGACACTAACAAAGGGAGAAAGAAATCTAGTTTGACAGAGTGACACTGAAAATTACACAAGGGGAAAAACGTTGTGGGTTATTAAAGACAAAACGGAAGGTTAACGTCTCACCTCTGCTTGCCTAGTCAGCTGACTGGCCAATGACAGGAGGCCATCCATGACTGATGGCAGGAAGAGCCTATGAAAGGCCTTTGACTGTTCACCAGGATCCACCCCAACACAACAGGAACTGGGCAGACAGACAGACAGACAGAAAGGTGTGTGGTCATCACCATGAATCCTCCTTATGAACCAAAAAATCATCAGTCTAGTGTACATCCAAAAAATGCAAATTCTAGCAACAAAGCAGCTTTTTTTGTTTGTGACTATTAACAAAAATATGCAAAAAATATTAGCCTGGTTTATACAGTACTTTATATGCATACAAATGAATTAAACTAAAGTACTGTACATAAAACCCCAAAACATATTTTTAAACATAAAAAAAAATCAAAGATAAAAAACGTTATTGCATGTTTAAGTACAAAAAATAATAATTTAAAACCTTTAAATAATTTCTGATAAACTTAGATATAATGAAATAATCTTATAAATTCCTGACAAACTTCAGTCAGTCTGAGGTGTACCTGGTGACCTGGGCAAGTGTGGCAGCAGCGCTCCAGTTGCCCCGCAGCCTTCTGGGATCCAGAGCGAGGATAAGGACACAGTGGTTCAGGACTCCGCTCTCATACAACTGAGACTTTACACGGGTCAACACGCTGCCATCTGTCTGTACTGCCGCCATGTTCAGACACTCTGACAGAGACACACAGACAAAATGATTAATCAGTTAATAGAGAAAATAATCAGCGGATAACAGGATAATGAAAATAATGGTTAGCTCCAGGCCTAGTGTAAAGCAGACAGACAGGTGTAATATTATCAATAGCAGGCGGACAAGTACATACACAAACACAATCTGGACTCAAATGGTCAGAAATAAATTCAGTGTAAGACTTTTTAATAACTTATATGGTCTTTCTGAACCAACACTTCTCAGGACCTGCAGAAAGCCAGGTTTTACTGTGCACAGTAAACAGACTGGTACCACACTGGTTGCCTCACTGTTCAAGCCGCTGTTGAGGAGGTTGATTTTCTGCTCCAGGTTCAGGCCTTCATTCTCCACCTGTCTCTTCAGCTCGGACACCAAATCCCTGTCCTTCTCCACCTGCTCCATCCTGACTGGAACTGCCTGGTAGTTCAAGAAAACAAACACCCACATCAAAATCCATATAAAAAGGCATTATACCAAACTTTGCAACCTGTATTTCATCTAAAGCTGTAGTGCCACTGTGGGTGTTTTTACCACACTGCGTTTTTGCAGCTTTTATTAGAAAATATAATAGCTAAGTTAGCAGTGTTGTTGTTGTATCTGTACTGACACCTCACACGTTAATATTTGGTCTATACTTTGTGAGTTTTTATTTCTTATAACGGGTCACAAATTTAGGTGTAATGGTATCATTTTGTCAGCAGCGTATGTGCTTTATTTGTCGTCCTGACAAGTAAATAATATTACCTTACCTACACAGTCCTGTTAGTCCGTTAAACAGCCCTTCTTGCTCCTCAGGTTTATTGGCGAATGGCAAACAACAAAATTGTGCACTACCGCCACCAACTGGTAAGGCGTGTAGGTCCAGAGTCTAGTTTTCTTCTTCTTTTTTTTTAATAAATAGATTATATTCTCTCAAATAGCCTAGTTGTTCTAACATTTTTATTTGTCCCTTCTTTGTTTCCATATTTCTGACAGTGTAACATGACGTGTTCTGGTGTCTCTTCTTTCCCACAATATTCACATTCGTCTGTATTATACTATTAAGCCCACTATGTCCAAATCTCAGTCTTGAGAAGTACAGGAAGAAGCAGAACAGATGAGACAGTAGTATCATCTCTCACACTCTCCTTTGAATCCCATAAAACCAGTCATTTTCTTACTTCTTATCACTGTTTCCGCCACTTCTCATTCAGCCTGTTTAATACTCTTGATTTCTGCGATACTGATTTAGAAATGCGAAAGCGCAACAAAAATACGTCTGCTAGCTAACCGCTAGCAGCTAAGCATGCTTTTTGTAAGCTTCAAAGAGTCAATAAAATGCACGTCAGATAGAAGCAAGTACATAATACAATACATTAACACTGACAATATTGAACAAGTAAAAAATAATAATTGAAAGATTCAAGAATAAACACGAAACACAGCTGAGCATGCTGACAATCATGTTAAATATTACGTCATGACACCACGACCATACGATATTGCGTCATAACGATGCGACGATGCACACCCCTTTGCAAGAACCAAAGTCTATTGTTCCATTCTAATGGGGTTAAATAACATGAAATACAATTATGAAATACAAGTATGTGTTTCCAAAGCAAACAAAAATATAATACGAAGAATAAATTGATTTAAATGTACTGTAGCTCAAAGGGAATACGAAAATTTGGCAAATTGTTGGTAACCTATTAAAAACAGTTAACTGAAAAAGGAACTCAAAGTAGTACTAAAAGGTGATAGCTAAAATGCCAAGAATACCACCTCCTGGTTAAGTACAATTTATAAAGTTAATACGTTGTAATTATTGGCTTTATTGGTGGTTAATATAATATATAAAGACTTTCCCATTCAATTCAATGGAAACGTATTCAAAAATTTGACTGGTAGTGTACAAACTGATTATAACACATACAAGTGCAGATTTATTTATTAACTTTAAAGTTTGACTTATAGGCCTGCCAAACTAGGCTAGTAAACTTAAACGTTCTTGTGACATTTTGAAGCTGAGGACTTCACATTAAGACTATTTTAATCTAAGGTTTTGGTATTAACACGGACTGTGTTTCTAATCAGTATTAATACAGTTATAAACGGCGAAATGATATTTGTAAATTGTTAAAGTTTTACGATTACATATCAAATCTGCAGCTGTAAATACTAATATAATACGAAGGCCTTATTAAAGTCTTGTGTCTGTGCAGCTGTCTTCAGGAGTTGGTGTGTTGTGGCTGCTGACAGCTGCTCTGACCTGTGGGTGGCGCTGTAGCTTCAGCTGCAGCAGCTTCATTACTTCAGCTCTGCATGTTTTCACTTAAACAAAGCTCACAATGTTCAACTTTTCTTTTACTTAAACTTTGACTATATTTTATCTCACACAATTTATATTTCAAATGTATTATATAATTTAACATGTATATAAGTCTGTTTATCGTCATTTATTTATTTGTTCTGGCCATTTAATACACTTTGTGCTCTGAATGTCTGTGCAGATTCAATGTCATCCAGGTCATAGTAAACTGAAAAAACTGAATATACTTTTGCTTTCGTAACACTGTAAGCATGTCTTGTGAACACGTGTTGCATCTCTTTGAATCAAATTTACTATATTTAATTGTACTGTATGTTAGTATGTCATTCTTTCTTATTCTGAAACTTGATAGTGTACACCATTAAATGCTTACTCTCATTATTCTAATGTCAGTGTGTCTGTTAATAAAAAAATTCCATGCGAAATTACAATATAATATATAACATGACTAAAAGCATAGTTTAACATTACATAAAATAATATTTTAGGGCATAACATGAAATAACAATAATGGCATTGTATAACATGTTTTATGTTAAACAAATATAAAATATAAGCTAATATAACAGAGGAGAGTAGAACTGCAGTAGAATAAGTATAACGCTGCTCTCAGCTGAACTTGTCAGGGAACTGTACCAACAGTAACGTTAACGTTATAGTAACGAGAGGAGGCGGGGGCCGTGTGTGCATGTATGTGTGTGGTAGTTGATGCAGCAGCAGCTGCAACCCTCGTGCACATTGCTCTCTTCTGCCTGGTGCACCTGCGTGCGGGAGTACACACCGACCGACCGACTGACCGTCTGCTGCCTGGACCGGCGAGTCGAGAGGGGTTCAGAGGCGCACGGTAACGGTATCTGCGGTCAGTAACGGTGAAAGTACCAGTAACGGTGACGTGATGTGATGTAATGCGCGCGGGATCACAGTAACGTAAGCACAGCAGCAGCAGCGGAGGAGGAGGACCGTCGAGGCTGAGCCGAGGAGGATGCAGCAGTGATCGGGACTGGGAGGAGGGAAACACAACGTCCATCGGTGAGACCGGTGGGAACCTGGACCGATCCGATCTGATGTAAAACCGCAGGGATGCACGGGTAGGCAGGGAGGAGGCGCGAGGAGCGGAGCAACCGAACGGTACATAACGGAGGACAGAGCGCGAGGAGGAGGAGGAGGGAGGCGGAGGAGCAGCGCGAGGAGGAGGGAGGATGAATCCGGCGGATGGAGGAGGAGAAGCGGGCCCGGACGGTCTGGCGTCGGCAGGTAGGGTGGGTGTGTGTCCTTGTGTGTGTGTCTGGTGTGTGTAGTGGGACCTGCTGTCGCCATGATGCCTCCACATCCGCCCATTGACTTAGAAAATGTGTATGTTTTTGTGTGTGTGCGCGCGCGCGTGGGCTATATGCTATGCTATGAATGTATGAGCGTGTGTGTGTCAGTATCCCTCTGTCCAATGGCACTGGTGTGTGTGTGTGTGTGTGTGTGTTTGGGCTGGAGGGTCCTACCGAGGAGGATTGTGGGAAGGCCTGCTTGGTTGTTAAACGTGTGGGTGATAATGATACAGTGTTTTCAAATTAAACAGATTTATTTATTCCCGTGTAGTATCATTAGTAGTATTTATACCACTACTACAGAAAATACTGGCGTCTGATTGGCCGACAACTGTCAATTAAATCGTTTGAATCGTTGTATTTTATGGCTGAGGTGATATATTAACCTGCAGGTAACCATAGCAACAGCAGTTACCTGATAACTGGTGAAACCAAACTAACCAAATCCAGATTTCTTTAAACAATTACAAATAAGGGACAATTACATAAAAGAGGTGAAAGCTAGAGCTGCAACAATTAATCGGTTAATTGATTGATGGAAATTTGATTTGCAGCTCCAGATGGAGGCAGATGACAGGAAACTCCTGAATAAATGAGTGGACATAAAAAATGCAGGGATCACTGGTTAATCTGCTGATTATTTGATTGATATCAAGAATGTCAAACAGTGAGAAGTGGAGGTGGTGTTAGTAGGTTAGGCTGTTGGCCCAACCAAACAGGAAGTCTGAAGACTAGACACACACTTTTCACTGTTTTCTTTCAGACCAAACATTTAATGGAGAAAATATGCAGATTAAACAACACTGACAATAATGGTTAATTGCAGCCCTAGAAAACACTGAAGCCTTTTGGAAATTAAAATATCACCTGCAGTTATTTTAATACTTCATCAATAAATGGCTCTACAGTGAGTCGAGTCTGCAGTTATAAATAATAGCATAATAAAAAGGTCTATTAAACATCTACAGTGTTCAAAACCAACACCGTCTGATATGGAGATGGAAAATGTCAGCAATTATTAATCGGTTAACTGAGAAAACGATCCACAGATTAATCGATACTGAAATAATGATTAATATTTAAGACTTTTGGTCATTAAATTTAAGAACTTTTCATTCATTCTAAGGGGTTTTTTAAGAGGACATTAATGTTTTTTAAAGACTTTTCAAGACCTGTGCATACGCAGCTGGTCAAGTGACCAACACATTGACATGTTTTAGTTCGGACCAGCCCCGAAGCCGCAACACAAACATGGTCAAAATAAACGAGAATCCAAACTAAATATTAAAATCCCAGAAATCTGTATGACACTAGCACAGCTCACAAGTTTAGAGAAAGGCCAGCAGGAAGAACATCACTCATCTCAACAGCAGACACCCTGTTGGAGGATCTGTGGAGGCCAAACCAGACTCATGCTTTCTAGAGCTTCTGGGACAGTTACACGACATTATGGGATACACCACTGCAAACAAAGGCGCTGAGAGGCACCAGTGAAAGACTGAGGGGGCTGAAGGACCCGACCTAACAAAGTGTAGCAGCAGAACATCTACAACATGAACAAGAGCACCGGCTGCATGTTGTCACCGTCCTCTTGTCAGAGTTAAGCCTTTTGGAACACAGTGATTTAAATACAGAGTAAGTGGAAATGAAAATGTACTTACTCTTTGTTCTGTGTTTTCACATTCCAGATCTGAAACCCCAATAAAAACAAAGCATTCATAAACCAACTTACCCACAGTTTAAACTGGTTGCAAACATGAAAGACAGTTTAGTCACAGCCTGTCTCTTTTTAATCTGGAGAGGACCCATGATATAAGAGCCATAACCACGTGCACTCCCAGCCTGGATTATCAGCCCGGCGAAGTGGGCTCCAAAATAAAAGCTTTATTTTAACTGTGCACCAAATACCTAGGAGTAATTTTAAATACAGGCAAACTTGTTATGTAATATGCACTAAGCAGCACAACACCATGATAACGGTGGGACTGCTGTCGAGGCTGTGGCTCAGGGGTTAGAGGTGGCTGGCCACAAATGAAGGATGCAGCTCTGGCAAGTGAATGTAACCTAATGTTCTTAGGTTAAGGCTGCACCTGTCAGACTGACCTCAGACCAGACGTCATTAAGCTGATGGCACTTATCAAACAGAATTTCTGTTTCTGCCATCAGTCATGGGATAAAACCTTGGTAAAATCTAGCACTGTGTAGTTAATATTATGCTTACATGCTGTATAGTCTTCATACAACCAACCTGCAACACCTCAGGAAGCGTAAAGCAGCTTTCACTGTGAAACAAGGGCAGGGCCTTGACTACAAAATCAACTAGAGAAATTTAACAGTAAAACAGCAGATTGGGTTTAATTGCGAAGCAGCTTTTGCATTCTTAAGGTCTTTTCAGAGTGAATAAATGATACAAAAACAGGGATTTTTTTTCAGAGACGATTTAAATGCACCACATATATTGGCACCAAAGGCAACCTGAATATGGAATGTGACGTTTTAAAAGGTCGCACTACAAAAGTCCACATCAAGTGATGATGACTTGCAGGTGCTTGATAGGACATTGGTTTGAAAATTACCATTGGTTTGTGAAAAACAAAAAAATTTGCCTCCAGAGTGAAAAGACCTTTACTCTGAAAATTTGGACAAGTAAATTATAATCCTTAAAATGAGCTTATGACCTAGTCTGTTACTTTATCTATAAATTTCTTGTTTGTTTTAAATCTCGACTCGATTAATGTTGATTTTCAAACATAACTAGAAGAAAAGTGGGGTAGGGCTATCAAGGTAGTCGGCCTCCTCGATATCAATAATGACACGAGCAGGAAACATAAATAATCAGTCAGCTCTGAAGCATTTCTGAGAGGCTGACATTTTGGAGCTTCAGTGGACACTGTGGTGAAATGTATTCATTATTTTGTGTTGTATAATCAGTGTGATGAGTCCTGACAGACTGACAGCACATTTCTCTGAAGGCCATTCTTCTGCTCTGCACAGCAGCTATTTCAGGCTTTAGACCGACTCAGTGTGTTTTAGTGGTGTGGGGCAGGTTTTTCCAAATGGAAACCCCCTTCTCCTCCTCTCTGCTGTCGCTGGTGTGGACTCACCTTGACTGACAGATGGTCTGGCGTCAGCCTGACAGACAGCTGATCGAGGATCAGTCACGTTCCTAAGTGGGGTTTCTGTAATAGCCAGCATGGAGCAGTGTGTGTGAACAGACAGTGTCACAGTGTTTACATTGCGATGGACCACAAACACCCAGCACTAACTCATCAGTGTCTGCAGCTCTCAGACCTGCTATACATTCAGATGAGCTCTGCTCTAACTCCTCTAACCTGCTGGGATTCACACGCTCTCTAATTACAGAGAAAACAGGCTAAAAACCTTTTTCCTTCTTTGGTAGTTCACACAGGAAATACAGTGTGAAGCTGAACGCAGCTATCCTCACATTTTTATTGACGATCTGTCAGTCGTAACACACAGAGATAAAGCCTCTGCACAGATTACACATCAGGCTGTTGCCTCTGTGGGTGAAATGGAGAATCAGTGTTGACAGCCAGGATTTTGGTGAGTCACCAACCAAACTCTGTACAATTTTCTGGATATTTTAACAAATTCACAAAATGTTCCATTTATTTAAACTGTTCACCCATTTTACAGCTTAAATGTCTAAATTCCCTCTCGGGAATGGGTCCTATATACCAATTATCGAAGTTAGTGTTTTTGCATAAAGGCAATTTCCTGTTAAAATATTGCCACATGGGTTCTGTAGCATGTGTGCAGTAGTAGAATGTGTGCTCTGCGTGGAACTGCAACAAAATGATCTGAAACACAGGTGTTAAATGCGCCGCAGCTCCACCTTGCCCCACTTTGGTACAACCAATCAGAAGCCGAACTGTGCGTTGAAGAAAATAAATAAACCAGACCTACCCTCAAACACAGTGCACGTGAGATGTTAGCCTTCTGTCCGCTCCTGCAGTCTGCACTGACTCTGACAGGGTCGTGGATTGTGTCCAAGCTCTGCAAGACAAACAAGAGGAGTTTCCTGTGTGCGGTACTCCAAACGTTTAAATGCAGTATTAACATTGGCTGCAACATCCCATGCTTTAGTTAGCAGTGCTACATGAAATGCTCACAGAGATATTAGAAAGCGCATATAAGAGAGAAAACCTTACATGAGACATGCTCCAAAACCAGCAGCGCATTAAGTTACAGCTCTTCCTGCCTGTAACCATCAGCATCTCAGAGCGGTTTTCCATCACTCAGAGTCATTATATTAATGTTTTGGGTGGATGGAGCAGCTGCATGTGATGCCTGATGGGCCTATAAAAGTATATGTAACATTGGGTAGCAGCTCTTCTGCTTACTGTTTGTCCTCAACATCAGTTTTACCACCAAAGTATCTGCAAATGCTGCAAAGGGAAATCCAAGCTGCCAACACTTCATCCATCACAGGAACGAGATCCGTTTCAGTTGCATCAGTTCCCAGAGACTACAAGAGACATTTCAATCACATGGATGTCTGGCTGTCTGCACAGTGTTTCCCTGTGGGTGTATACTACTATGGAAGGAGAGGGGAAGTCTATAAAGGAATCAATAAGTAAAGGGGTTTTTCACACACACTTCACCTGCTGTAAAACCGTTCTGTCATGTAACAGCCAAATAGAAACCGCTAGGAAAGGAGAAGAGGGAGGGGATAATATGAAACCACTGAACTGGGAACACTGTGGCTAAATGGTTTGCTTCTGGTTTACCAGGAGACGCCATTAATAGTCATTTTCTCACTTCTCCATGTTTACAGTTGTATCTATCAGTGTGTCCAAACATGCTGGAGATGTTGTCAAACTTGGCGTGAGGAGCCAAAGAAATTCTGACACGCCAGTTTTTGTTTTTTTTTGCACATTTTGAGGCGCCTGAATGCTGTGTTGGCCACAGTCCACTGTGACACAGCACCCAGGATAAACTTTTGAATCTGGAGCTCATTGCTGGGTTTTTCTGAGCTGATACTGTGTAGTCTGAGTCCAGGAAATAATTTCTGAGGGGACCTTTATGGAAGCTGCCTTGTTAGTGTGGCCGGACGTGACCAGTGTATCTGTAGATGTTTGTAGTCAGTGGTCTGCCACAGTTGATGATCCATCTGGAGCCAAACCATCAGTCTAGATTAAACAGACACTCAGTCTGGGTCAGTCCAGTAAGAAAAAAGGATTCAAGGACACAAATGAAGTAGGAGGAGGACACTGAGGAGGCAGCCTGGGCTCGATGAGTGTGAGCGTTCCATCTCTCTTCATCTTCTTCCTGTGTTCAGCGTCTCTCTCTCTCTCTCTCTCTCTCTCTCTCTCTCTCAGGGATATCACTGCTCGCCGAGCTGCTAATGTGAGGCGTTTAATGCCCTCTGTGTGTGTGGGTGTGTTGGATTAGCCTTCTCCCGCTGTGCAGGATGATCGGACACACATGGGAGTCCTGTGTGTGTGTCTGCAACACACACTCACACACACACTGAGCTGCAGGAGTCAGCCGAAATGCCTGTCTGCTCCTCGCTCATTTTAGTGGATGGGTGGAGACAGACGCTGGTTACTTAGTCATTATTGTAACTTTTTAAAGCATAACATCCTGAAAAGGAGGGACTGAGAAGTGATGAGCGACATTAACACCAGCTAGGAAGTGCTATGACATTATGATCTGAGGTGCTGTGTGGTTCGACCTGAGCACATTAAGCTAAGGTTTGGTTTTTATTCATGAGCCACTTGCACCATTCTGATAGACACAAAGAGCTAGGGCTGCAACTGCTGCAATTTTTCTATAGTTATTTCTTACTTATCACTCTCTCCCTACTTGTTTAGTCTTGGAAATCATTTTCCCAGAACCAGGAACGATATCATCAAAATACGTCTTTTGATCAACCAACTAGAGCTGCATTGGTTTGTCGATTAAACTGCACATTGGGCCAGTTTTAGCCCACGATTACTGGGTTTTGTGATGATGTATATGCTAAAGAGTGGCATAAGTATTTGCAGTCCTATTTGTGGCAAACAAACAGTATGCGGTTAGATTTTTCAATTTAACTGAGCTGCCCCACAGTCTTTGTGTGACCTCTGAGGTTTGGAATCAGTGAAATAAAACTGAAAGTGAGGGTGCCTGAAATGTTGGTAATAATCCCTCATTATACAGAGAAGCTGCGTGTAATTCAGGGCCATGGTTTTAGAAATACTAAGGCTGAGAGTGAAGCGTCCTGCAGCAGATCCCCACCAGCTGAAAGGCTTCTCTCCATCTCTTAGGTTCAGGTAAAGCAGAGGGTGTTCGGGCAGTTGACGTCCTGACTGTGCTTAGAGAGAAAGTGGCCTTTGTGTCAGGTAACACACACAAACACTGCTGCAGCTTTAGCCCGGTTTGATCCTAATGGGACCCAGTTTAACTGCCTGTGCTCCAGGTGGACGCGACAAACGAGGAGGACCAATCCTGACCTTCCCTGCCAGGACCAATCATGATCGAATAAAACAGGAAGACCTGAGTCGACTGGTCACTTACCTGTCGACCATACCCAGGTACTCTCTGTCTCCCTCTCAGTGTGGTCTTTGGACTAACGCTGTAGTAACAGCCAGGTGTAGAGGTCAATTAGGGTTGCATTACTGTCTCTGCCTGTCTGTCTGACAGCGAGGACGTACGTGCTCGTGGCTTCACCGTGGTGGTGGACATGCGCGGCAGCAAGTGGGACAGCGTGAAGCCGGTGCTGCGGACTCTGCAGGAGTCGTTCTCCTCCAGCATCCACACAGCGCTGCTCATCAAACCAGACACCTTCTGGCAGAAGCACAAGACCAACCTGGGCAGTGCCAAGCTCAGCTTTGAGGTACTACTGCAGTACTACTACTGATAAATGATGTGCTCCTGATAACTGCAGTACTGCTACTGAAAAACTAAGCTCTGCTGCTGATAATTTTAATACTACTATGGCAAACAAGGTACTTCCAGATACACTGTTCCATAAACACCAGATCCAAACTGTGCAGCAACCTCAGCTGTGAGGTTCTGCTGCTGATGTTTATGGACTAATACTGATCAGTACAGCACAGTACTACTAGGGCTGCTGACAGTTTAAGAACTAATAACATGAATACTCTTACTGATAACTCTGACACTGCTACTACGAATTGAAGTGGTGCTGCTGCTAACTGAAGTACTACTACTGCTAATTAAAGTATAACAACCTGAAATACTACTGCGGCTCAGTGAGGACCTCAGAAGTACTCCCGACTGGAGTTTCCTTTCAGAACTAGTGCTTCTAACTGAAGTACTACTAACACCTGAAGTACTATGCTATATAATAATAGTAACTGAAGTACTGCTACTGCCTTCTACAGTTAATCTAACAGGTTCTGTTGCAGTACAATAAGCAGACTTGTGCAGAAGTAGAGTTTTCTTGCATGTAGAGTAACTTGCAGTAAGCCCTTTCTCTCTGTTGGCCTCCAGACAAGCCTAGTGTCAGTAGAGGGTCTGTCCCGGCTTGTCGACCCCTCCCAGCTGACCTCTGACCTCGGTGGCTCGTTGGAATATGACCACGTGGAGTGGACCGAGCTGCGTCTGGGTCTGGAGGAGTTCTCAGGGGCCGCCGCACAGCTGTTGGCCCAGCTGGAGCAGCTGGAGGCCGGACTGAACCGCATCCCAGAGCCCCAGGACGTTGACGAGGCCCGCAAGTGAGGGGGAGGCTCAGTCAGACTCATTAACATTACATTAATTGTTGTATTTTAGAGTCATTTGGTGAAGATTTTTTTTCCATCTCCAGACTTCTTGAGGAACACGGTCGTCTCCGCAACACCATCGCCACAGCGCCAGTTGACGCCCTTGACCGGGAGGGGCGGAGTTTGCTTCAGCGGATGCGCTTGGGCCCCTCACATGGTGACGTCTGCAATGAAAGTGGTGGGGGTAGCCACGGCAGCTGGCTGTCAGGCGGGGCGGACTTCCAGAGTGTGGCCCCAAAGGGTTCATCTCTGCTTGACCGGCTGGGGGGCGCCCGGCCCGGCTGCAGGCAGCTCGCAGCCACCTGTTGCAGAGCTGGGGTGACAAAAAGCTCCACCTGGATCAGGCGCTGCAGCTGCACCTGTTTGAACAGGACGCGACCAAGGTGAGGGGGGGAGTCTTTAAGTGCACCTGTACACAGAGGATACAGCTGTCAGGTAGGTGGAGTGTAGCTAGGGTGGAGAAAAGGAAGAGCTTAACATGTTGGTAAACAGGTTGAGCCTTGACAGCATTCACCTGTTCACTCAACCCAATGTCTGCGTGTTAAGTACAGGGGTTGAACCAGGATGTGGTTAGCCTAGCTTAGCATAAAGATCAAAAACCGGGGGAAACTGCTAGCCTTGCTCTTTCCCAAGTTCACAAATACACTCACTGGGTAACACACTAACAAATGTAAAGACAACTGGTTGAGGCTACACAAAGTCCAGACCCTCTAACCTGTCTAGCTCATTGTTTCCGCCCTGTCTCTGTCTCAGATGTCAGAGTGGATCGCTCACAGTAAGGAGCTGTTCATGCAGGGTCTGGCGGAGGTTGGCCAGAACCACCAGCATGCCCTTGACCTCCAGACACAACACCAGCACTTCACCGCCAACTGCATGGTCAGTCTTGTGTGTACTTCTCTTTGTTTGGTGTAAACAACTTATTTAACAAATCCTGAATAAAGTCTCTTTGTTGGCGTCTGTGCAGAATGGCAGCGTGAATGTGGACAGCGTGGTCACTGTTGCGGCGAGGCTTGCTGAGGCCGGTCACTACGGGGCGGAGCGAATCGCCAAGGTGTCGTCACGATTACAAGAAGACTGGAAGTCCCTGACGACGGCGCTAGAGGAGCGTAGCAACACACTGGCCATGGCAACTGGATTCCACCAGGGAGCAGAGCAGGTGTTTAATACTACTGTCATCCGAAAAACACCTGTATACATACCCGTTTGTCTACCCGCCTTTTATCTGTCTCACTGCCTATGTATCTACCTGTCCTCGTACCTGTCTCACTACCTTTTATCTGTCATTGCTGGTGTACATGTTGTCTACCTGACTGTTTACCTGTCAGTGTCTAGCTCTTTACCTGCCAACATGCACTTATATTTTATCTGTCTACATACCTGTCTGCCTGTCTCCTCCTGTCTGTCTACCTGCTTGATTCCTCATCTAGGTGTACCTGTTTTACCTGTGGACATGTATTTTAATCAGTCAGTGTCAACCTCTCTCATCGCCTACTATCTAACCTTTTACATCTTTCTACCTTACCTGTGTTCTTGTCTACCTGCTCATTATCCTGTCCCTTCCACCTGTCTGTCTGTTCAGTTCCTGCTCAGGGTGGAGGGTTGGGTTCAGGCCTGCTCTGAGGGGTCATTGCCGTCAGTGACAGCAGAGCTGGAAGCTGCGATAAAGAAACACCAGGAGCTGAACGAGGAGATCTCCGCTAACTACACACAGGTACCTGTCTATCCACACACCTGTCTGTCTGAATGGACACCTCTCTGTCTACGTAAAACCTGTCTGTCTGAATGGACACCTCTCTGTCTACATAAAACCTGTCTGTCTGTTTGAACACTTGCCTGTCTGGCGGTCTCCCCACCTGTCTACCTGCAGGTCAGTGAGAGTGGTAAAGCCTTACTGGACGTCCTCCAGCGTTGCCCAACAACCGACTCTGACGACTCAGTGACCAAACCTGACTTCACTGCCACCACACATGGCATCATGGGAGTTCTTCACCAGGTCATGCAGGTACAACTCACTGTAACCTGTCTCACGTTCATCGATATAGCGGTGTATGTCACAGGCAGACATACAGGTAGACTGATATGACTTTTTTTTCCGCAGGGTCATCATGAGGTAGAGGCGGCGTGGCAGCACCGTAAGCTCCGCCTCCACCAGCGCCTGCAGCTGTGTGTGTTTCAACAGGATGTCAGACAGGTACGATCAAAAGCCAGTGCTCAGATCCAGATCCAGAATTAAGAGATTTAGGTCCAGACTCCCATTTGGTTTCAGTGATTCTGATTTTATGGAAGCCCAAATCAGACAAAAAAAAATTAAAAATACACAATGTAAATGAACACACCCATGGTAAATCTTCCATTGTCTTTATTTTAACTTCATACCTCATAATATGGACATTTTGATTTTGACTTTATCATCATTTTAACATCTTCATACTATTTACTTGTGTCAACTTGTGCTGACTCAGTATGACACAATTCAGACTTTCCAAACGTTGTGATGAGTCATTGTTGTGGCAAATTGCTACTCCCTAATTCTGACTCTGTAATTCATATTTGACACAGTAAGTAATAGTAAGTAATCATTTTTATTTATCAAGTCAAAAATTCAACTTGGCATCTTATACAGTGCCTTGCGAAAGTATTCGGCCCCCTTGAACTTTGCGACCTTTTGCCACATTTCAGGCTTCAAACATAAAGATATAAAACTGTAATTTTTTGTGAAGAATCAACAACAAGTGGGACACAATCATGAAGTGGAACGAAATTTATTGGATATTTCAAACTTTTTTAACAAATAAAAAACTGAAAAATTGGGCATGCAAAATTATTCAGCCCC